GGCAGATCACATAAGTGTGGGTCACCAGCGAAGAATTATAGGTCTCAAGCGTGATCAATGACTGAACCACCACAAAGAAAAACGCAGACTCTGAATTAGTATAAGCCTACACAGTATGAGTATACGCATGGATTTTTGCTGTATTTAGCTACAACAGATAAAATGTTTTTATGGAAACCGCTAATAGTGTTTACAAGTAAAGGCTGTAATAATTTCATGTTTTATCTTTTAATGAGAAAAATCCAATTCTTTATGGCTATTTAGAATATGGTATGGTGACAACAAGACTGAATATGCTAGAGTGGAAAAGTATAATCTCTTGGTGCCAGCCCAGATCGTTTCCAAAGAGCATGTCACCACAGCCACTGCGTTGCACAGCCTCTACAACCCTACCAACCCCGAACTGGTACCTGCACCTACTGTTTTGTTCCGGCCTTTTTGCCAAAGACTCCCTGCTGCCACACACTGCCTTTAATGCCCTGGTATCTGAGTAAAAGAGGTAGTGTCATCTATTCCAGCTGTGCTTTGTCAGGGACCCACCTGGGTAGGTATGTACTGAGAAAGTGCCTGCCACACTAAATCCCACATCAGGAGGTCTGACCTAATCTGTGAATTCCAGTGAGGTGTGGATATGAGCCAGGCACCTACATGCTAGGCACTGGTTTGACACAGCCAGTTCTGCATGTGTGTAGCTGCAGCTCTTTTAAACCTTAAAAAGTTTCCTGGAAGAAAAATGGTTACAGACCTTAGACATTTCCAGGGACAAGCTGTAGCTAAGTAGATGTTAATGTTATACTGAAGGTCAGGCTAAGTCATAATACTGCCTTTTGGCACGTGCAACACTAATTCCAACTTTAGTTCAATGCTACCCTACCCTTTATCCCAAACTCATCCCAATCTCAAACCCCAAACATAAAAATGAAAGGTGGTGCTACCACTTCTGTCCCAGATTCTTCTCTCCAACAATTTATTTTTTTCTCCCCAGCTGCTGAAATGTCACTTCAACTGCATAAACACATGGAGGAGTTAAGAGTTAACCTTATCCACTGCTGTAGCTGCATGATTTTTCAATACTCCTGTAATAATCCTTAGAGGTTCCTTGCTTGTATCAATTCTCTCCAAAGAGAAAGCATCCCAATTCTATTGTCCTTACTGGTAGGTCATTACAGAAGGAGTAAGAAAAGAAACTTTATACAACACTAATTACGTTATCAGATTAACATCTTCACTAATCAGTGCTGCCTAAATCATTTGTTTTGATGGTAATATGCATAGATTCTACTTTAAAGATCAGGAAACCCAATTATGTCAGGGATGCCAAAATCTGATTCCAGAGGATTAGTCTAAAAGCAAATTAGCAAGGAAAACCTTCTCTATTATATGTTTACAAATTAAAATGCAAAGTTCTATTTATATATATTGACAGTAAATCAGATGACTTCAATGTCAGTATTCTATGAAGACAAAAATAATTAAAGATCAAAAATTTTATTTTCATATTGATAAAAATAATTCCATGAATTCTGTAAACCATTGCATAAATGCTGTAGTGTAAAAAAGTTTTAACAAGTGTTAACAATTTTAAACAATTCACTACAAGTATATGATTATGCATTATAAATAATACCTTCTGTATTAAGAACAATTCAATTCACAATATCATTTCTGCCTATACACTCAGAACATTAATGCTTCCATAAATTAATACAAGTGAAAATTTCATATTCAGTTAAGGTCTTACGTTGACCACAGTTACACAAATATATTGTGACAATAATATTTCTACTTATATTTAATACTAGGATATTCTGCATGGCAATACATAACAAAACAGATATGTTTTAATAATTTGCTATTCAAAAAGACTAATTTTAACAAACCAGTAACATGCATTTTGGGATCTATCTGAAATCAGCAAATATTCTGTTAAGATTACAGTTCTTAAATGTTAAACCCTGAGAAACTGTAATTTTAATCTGTTATTCCCCAGGATAAAATAGTCATACATGTGAGAACATAATGGCATTCACATAAAAATTTGTACTTTTCCACACACTTACATGAAAATTGGTCACATTTTCTTCAAATACAAAAACAAACCTAACAAGTTAGTGTATTTTATATTTATATAGTATTTGTTATTCCAACAAATTATGCTGTATTTTTGCTAAAATACATTTAGTGCATTTAGTTTCCAGATAGTATGTCACCAGGACAAGAAAAAAAAAATCACATTTGTAAAGATTTCCCTTTTAATATTTTTTTTTCAACAATCACCAATTTAAACGGCACATATTTCATTATCCTGCATTTAAGTGTGTCACTGTAAAATGGATGCAATTATTCCTTATTGGAGTTCATTGGCTGGAAAGAGAGCAAACAAACAAAAACAGAAAATCTTGCTTATAAATTCCTTGCAAAAAAGTGTTCCTTCAAAAAATTATTATAGCATTTTCATGTGAATGTTCAACATGGTGCGTGTAATTACCTAAGGATATTTCATTATAACTAAAAATAAGATGCTCGATCTGAGAATTTAAATCACAGAAACATTTCTTTGGTCTTTCCCCCACACTTGACAAAAGATTCAAATTTTAATGCATCCAAAATTCAATTCAACAGAAGCTGAGGGGAAACACGTGCAATTTTTTCCTCATTGGTAACTATACATTACTTAAAAATTGGCTGATTTCATTCTAAGAAGGCAGCACTTGCAAAACTCTGAATGATACTGTGACAGTTTGTTTTGCCCTTGCTGTTAGCTCGTTTGGTGTTGTCCACTAAAGATTTTTTTTATATATATGAAAAAGAAAAGACCAAAGAAAAAGAAAACAGAGAAAAGGCTTCAGGATAATGGGTAAATGCACAAACATCTATCTATCTAGATATAGAAGCATCGGATCACTGTCCCCGATTCGATTCGGCTGAATCTGAACCTGAAGTTTGATGCCGAGTGGGAGAATCAGCAATTCGGACAACCACACAGCTTTAAATGTTTTTTCTACATACCTCGAGGTACCGGTGCGGCTTGCGAACGCTGTGATGCTGGGGTGCATGGAGCGTCCCACAGGAGTCTGGGGTGGGGGGGGCCCTGCACATGCTCTGTGGCAAACCCAGTAGTGGACTGGAAATACTTCCGGTACGCTTCCAGGCCTGCCAGGGAGCATGCAGCCCCCTCACCCCAGCTCTGCAATCAGCTGCAGAGAGACCCCAGGTGTTCCCCCAGACCCAGGAGGCACCAGTCGCCAAGTCAGGGGTGGGGGGGAAGCTCCCCCCCCCCCGCCCCCCCGGGACCCCAGCGGACCCAAAAGTGGACTGGAAGTGCTTCTGGTCCACTTCTGGGTCTGCTGCTGAGCGCACTGGGGAGCCCCCTGCGCTCCTGTGGGACAGTCCATCCACCCCAGCATTGCAGCATTCATGACCGGCCTGCTGCCTTGAGGTATGTAGAGAAAACATTTAAAGCTGTGTCTGTGTCCGAATCACTGAATCTTTCCAAATCGATTTGGAAGGTTCCCACTCAATTCAGAGAGATTAAACGGTTCTCCAATTTGATTTGGATTCTGAGATTTGGCCACCGAATTGGGCCGAATCTCTGCTGAATCAAATCAGGGACCGAAGCTTCACACAGCCCTAATATCTATATCTCTCTACATATCTATATATATAAAAAAGGTAACACAAAACTGTACTTCTGCATGTTTTAAATAAAGAACTTAACATTGATGCAGGAGGCCATGTTTCATTAGGCAGGATTTAAAATATTAAAAAGAAAATCTTCACTAAGAATTTTAGTTACTTCTGCAAGAACAACAGCTGCACAACATTGTTCCATATTCTACATGGATTTAGTATAACATTCACTGAAATCAACTGCATGTTTTAAAAACATTTACAGTAATTTTACACATCACTTCCTAATTTGGTCACTGTTAAAATGTCTTACCTATTTGCTTTGCTTTAGCCAAAATGTTATTAATATTCAAAAGAAATCTTTGGCAAAGATTACACAAGTGTAGAAGTACATTAATACACACAGCAAAGCTTAGTGATTGAAGTACCATTTAATTTAAAAGGTAAACTAATTCCACTTATATATTAAAGAAAAATCTTTCAAAACAGACAATATGCTGTGGAAAATTAAATTATATTGTAATGTTACATTTATCTCATAAACAATTTTGGTAGGATTTTTTTTTTTTAATAATTGTATGAAAAATGCATCAAGCTACACTATTACGCCCAAGTTTAAACCCTATTTAAATCCTGTAAAAGTGTGCTACATGTGTCTTTATATTTCTAAATTTTCTATTAAGTGTTTCTGTTAAAAAAGTTCATTCATTTGGAGTTTTAGTTCCCCCCTTTCTTGCTTTCAAACATTCTCCATGTTCTCACAGGTTGATATATCAGTAATCAGGGGATGATGATTCTGTAGACTGAAAGACGACATTAAACGTTTATTTTTGCTAGCCAAGGGTCTGCCCAATGTCTATTGATCTTAGTTGAGATGCAGTGATTTCAGGGAGCCTGGAATTGGGGCCTGTATTCTTTAACACCGATACAAATATCTAAGACATGATGCAAGAAAAATGTTTGGTGTATATCTTGCTTTTACTGCAACACAACTAAACTTCAAAAATTAAGGTCTTTGCTGTTTATATAAATGAACTTCTTGCATTGAATACTATAAGATCGTGGTATATACATTATGTAACACAGTAGTAGGTCATTTCCATGTAAGCTGTACTTGTGTCACACCTGCACTTAACAAGAAAAAACAGGCTAACTCTTTTGTAAAAGAATGTTACATAACAAGAGACAGTGTTAACATACAGTAACTAACTTCTCCTGAATTGCATACTCCTAACCATCATTGTTAAACATGAACAACCTTAAAAAATAATTGTATAAGAGCACCATTGCCTGATTAAATATTCTAAGAATTTTACAGTTAAACTATGGGGGGGGAGGGGGAGTGTGTGTGCGCGCGCATACATGTACATTACACACGCACATTACACACATGCACACACACCCTTCCTTTAAAAACAAACTATGATATTTTGTTCATTGCAAGGTATTATACTGAAATTTTATTTTTATACAAAGGTGATCATTTTAATTAAGTAATAGAAATTGTTTACAAGAGACATTTCCTTCATGTCGTTTGCAATTTTAGTGGATGCAAAGGATAGGTATCTGAAAAAAGTGACCAGTTCCTACTGGGTACCACACCAGCTAGGAGTTATAGGCATACTTCTCTTCAGACTACAAACATCCAAACTGGGTAATGCAAAATGCACAAGCATTTGAGAAAACTGATTTGTTTAATAAAATTAGACATGTATCTGAATATGTAAGCCTATGTGCCTTTCAGCGTTATCCTCTCTGCTGGTAGACTTATAAACACTATTAGTTTGAAGTTAACGCGAAAATTGTAAAAATTCTAGGCAATTCCCATTTTTCTTTAATTGTTCATTTAATAAGTAATAAAGTCAAAGTATGAAATCTAACTCCATATTTACCATACTATGATTTAACAATAAAACTGATATGAAATATTTTAAATTCACAGTACACATAAAAAGCTTCATTTTATCGCATATTAAAAAACAAACATAAAACCTAGAAAGCAGCTTAAAGCAATTTATAACATAACCTCTTTAAAAAAAGTTAACAAAGTGCTTTTACGGTAATCAAATTTCTTCAAATAGCCAAGTAAACAGTAGTGTTAGACTGACTCCAAAATACTGGCACTGGACTATATAGCACACCATAGACACAAGGTGAAGGGTGGGTCCTTCTATTATCAAGCACTGTATTTACATGGTAACTTCCATGAATTCTGATGCAGAGTAGAAGCATAAATCCCTCATTCAGGCATTGTGGGTAAGGACCCTTAAGACATGAGTATGTTTGAAGAACTGAACTTGAGTAGCCTGTGCAACAGGAATGCAAGTAAAAATTGAAAAGGCCAAGTGAAGAAAGGAATAAATATGGAACTTTAGAACATCATCATAGAAAGAAATCAAGTAAAGGCAGCCAAACCGCTTTTCCTATATTAGGGAAACAGGAAAGAACGTCTCTTAAGAAGTCAAAATGGAGATCAGTCTAGCACTAGTAAATGGATTAATAACTACATATACAATTTTTATATAAAATACTAGAACATAAAATATTTAATTCATTAACATTACATAAGTACCATGACACACTGTCACCATTTACTTTTTGTTGTCTTGCAGCAAGGACATTCTTGTTGTTTAGCTGCACAGTGTTCACAAAGGACATAATGTTGGCACGGCTGCAGGACAATGCTACGGTTATGTTCTCGGCATACAACACACTTCTTTGAATGGATCTGAAAAATTACCTGGAAAAAAAGAATTGCTCAATAAAGATAATCCAATGTGCAGCGTCTCATTTTGGCAGTAATGCAAGGATAAATATTTACAGCTCTTTAATTGCCAAACTGTTTGTCCACTGCACTGAAGCTAAAAGCTGGTTTAAAACTATTTTTCTATCACTGAGAAATCTGTGAAGAATCATTTGAGTTGGGGAAATTCAGTCTGGCATATTTCAAGCCCCAATGTACATGAACTTAGTATTCTTTCAGTGAAATTAAAAACTCTCTGTAAACACTCTATATAATGGTGTTAAACTGTCCATTTTTAAATAAAAATATAGTCACATCTACATATACATCTATATATACACAACTATCCATTTAACAGAATTAACAAAGAAGTAACACTATCCACAGTGTGGATAAACTCACCTCATCTATTGTTTCTAAATCCAAATGGAGCTGACTTCGTAAAGAATGAAGCTTTGGTAAGGGTATTGTTTCTATATCTCCATAGCTTTTCAGATGAGGCAATGGAGTGGATAGACACACAAACTGTTCCTGAAGGTTTTTAAACTTATTTTCCACTTCCTCTTTTTTCCGAAGGGCTAGCTGTTTCTCCGTGTCTGCCACGTTAGCACGTTCCTTGGCCTCTTGGGCCTCTTTTTGCCATGCATCACATGCCTATAACAGAAAGATTTATGGAACATGATATAATATTTTGTAAATTAATAACAGAGGCCTAAATATAAAAGGTCCTCAAGATACATAAAATATGAATCTTCAGCTACCACATAAGCTTACGGTTTTTCCTTCATCCTCTCCATGCCTCTCACCACCCTTTTTCATCTCCTTTTGATTTTTGTCTAAATAAGGATTTCATCTCCAATTGTCTATAAATCACTAGGAACACTCATAAGCGAGTATGCAGACATGAAAAAAAAATGGATCAAACAACCCTAATTTGATAGCAAGAGTTGAAAACTCAAACGGTAGTAAAGCTACTCTGCTGGCTATTCCCCTAAAGTAGAAAGCATTAAAACATCTTTGTCCTCTGTGATGTTAGGAGACAGTTAGTGATGTTAGGAGAAAGGAGAGAACACCTAAAACTTATTATACTCTACTCCCAATCGTGCTTTTGTAGGAGTCAAGCAAATACCAACACTAGTTCCTGAATGCTGGGGAAACTAGATTACATGTCTAATCTGCTCCATATCGTCAGCCACGGAAGAGTTGTGGCCAGGCTCTCTCCTCTCCTCAGCGACATGTTGCCATTTACTGAAGCAGTACGACATGTGGCCATTTACTGAAGCAGTACTCCAGGCCACTGTCAAATATGCTCCCTGAAGCCATTTGCTTACAAAAGCAGAATGACTTGAGGGAAGTGAGCTGCCTGCTATAGCTTAATTCTCCCAAGCTAAATTTGAAGATGAAAGGCCAGAAGTCAGGATTGATTAATCTGGCAGAATGAAATAAAATCTTTCCTTTCCAAAGATGAAGATTTAAAGAGAAAGAACAAAGTAATACACATTTTAATTAAAAATTATTCAGGAAATGAAATGCAATTTAATATTAACATACCTGCTTTACTTGTCGCCAAGAATCTTTCCATTGTTTTATTTTTCTTTTGGCGTCATCCAGTTCCTGTCTAACTCTAGTTAACTCACTTCCACTGGTACTTGAACTTGCTGAGGGTGTGGTACCACTGCTCAAGACAGGAGAGGGACTAGGAGAGAAGCTCCCAGTTACAAAATCCCAAATGCTACCTGTAACACCATTTAAACCTGCCAAGCACAAGACAGACAAAAATAAACACACTGCGCATCTCCAAAAAACCTGAAAAAATAGATAACCACTAATTGTTTATGCTGGTTTCAAGATTTGGAACAAAGACATGTAGCATTACATAAAACGATTTTTTCTAAATACTTAAGTCATTGTTATCTGCTTCTTTTTAACAAAACACAGCCCTGCAAAGAAAGAGGAAGACTAGGAGGGTCTTTCTATTGCAAACAAATTTGGCCAAAAAAAATCACATTTGGCTTCAGTTCTTTCACATTCCCGACTTCAATGGCTCTCAACCTTTTTTTTTTTTTTTTGACTTGAGGTGTCTATGGATAGACTCAAGGGACCCCTCGGAAAAAGCCAGCCCTTAGTTCTTACTTGTTTTTTGACTACAGAAAAATACTAGAGCAATTCTCCTGTGGCAAAGAACTCAGGAGGACTCCAACAGGGCAGAATGTTTTTGATACTATGGAATCCTATTTTAAATCTCATGTGTTTATCATGTGAATCATGCTTGCATACCTAACAACACTAACGTTGTGTGGCACCCTCGATTGCATCTCAAGGAACCAGGGTGATTCTTTCTTTTTCCAGCTCCATTGTTGGATGGGCTGCCCACTGCTTGTGCACCAAGTACCCTCTCCCAGAATTTTTTCTTCTTTCTGCTAATAAACCTCTCTATGGTTTCCCTTCCCCTCTGAAAAGTTGTGCATGATACAGGGGCTACTTCAGGAAGCAAACTGGCAAAGCAAGGCACCGTGGAATGCTTTGGGGCTGACCACCCTCCAGCTATGCTTGCGGGGGAAGGCCAAATTTAACTTGAAGTACTTCAAAGTTATCCCTGGTTTCATCCAGTTATTTGATATACACTTCAGGCTGACTTGCAGTATTTAATTCTGTGCTGTTTCTGTCCACTCATTTTTAGAGTGCCTTTCAGCCACTTGAAAAGTAAAGGATTAGCCCTTAAAATGACTTACCTAAAGAGTTATGAGAAGAGGCTGAGGTGCCTAACATGCTATGTTCTGATTTCAAAGGCTGAGGCTGCTGTTGGTGAGGAGCCATAGTGGATGAAATAAAAGACTGAGACAACGACTGTGAAAGAGAACTGAGTGGAGAGGTTAAAAGGGAAGATGATGAATGTAAAGATGAGGAACGAGCAAGAGAACCTGGAATATTGATAGGAGCTGAATTTCCCAGTAATCTTTGACCTATGTAAAAAAAGAAAAAAAATGTTAGGAAGTCAACCATGTGTTACTTCATAACTCCCATCCCCATTGAAAGAGGTCGATCAATTCTCTTACTCATTCTGCAACTGCAAAACTCTGTTTACAAAAGTATTTTATTTGGATCATTTTATATAGTTCAGTTTAATGACTAATTCACTTAAAGTTGAGAACATAAATGGAAATTAAAAAATAAACATAAAATAACCCTCCTCAGCCCCAAAAATTTATAAATAAAACCTAGACCAAAGAGAATGGAATCTACAGTCTCTAAATTAGTGCAGGACATGGTACTCAAAACAGTCAGTTCAAAGCCCTTGTCAGCAAAAGTACTTTTTTTCCTGTTATTTAGCTCAGTCTGTGTCCGTTTCTCTCTCAGACCTGCTGCAGGGCATTTTATGCCCAAAAGCACGTCTAACTTGTCTCCCAATTATACAGTTGGCCCAACAGAAGATATCATAAAAATCCTCACCATGCTGTTATTTAAGAAATAAGTTTTAAATGTAAAAATTTTAAATAAACTTTTTTCTCATGTAACAAATAAATTGGTTTATTGAGAAAAAAAGATCTTTATAAAGTTTGCTGCATTTAACTGTTTTCCAGTTTCTATCCACATAGGGTTTAACAAAAACCAAGCAAAAATTAATAATAATCTAGTAAAAGAAATATATTATTTACTACATTTAGATTAATACAAATTAAGAATCTAAAATAATCATATTTCAACCTATACAACTGTGTCAATGAATGAGCATGCATATAGTATGCATATACTCTATCTTCCTTGTTAGCAGAAATGCCAAGTTTACAGTTGATTGTTTTTGAGAACTTGTTTTGTTACTAACTAGTGAGAATCAATCTTTTGGAAAATAATAAAAGTTACAAATTCAAAACATGGTTAAAAGAGGTCACATTAAACCCATTACCACTGTCTATAGTAAACTGTTGTCTGGGATATAAGCCTGCCAAATTATTGGTAGAAAGACATAAATAAGCCCCTTAAGAAATTTAGTTACTGCCTGCCAGGAGAAAATATAACCGTCTCCCAGAGGAAGCTGATCAGGCATATCTGCTGCATGCACATTATTATAGAGATGATGCAAAGGCCTGAATATTTGAAGGCAAGCAGGTAGTCTGAATGGCCAACACAGGACCTTCCAAGGATCAGTGACCAGACTGAGGACCTTGTGGGTGCCTGTTGCAGGGACGCTGCTCCGACGCACTGTAATTTACAGCGCATTGGAACAGACTCAATCAATAGAGTCTGCTGGAGCGTACTAATTAGTGCACTCCAACAGCCTCCACGTCTCATCTATTCAGCATCCCCGCGCTTCAAAATGGCAGTGGGGGCACTTTACTTAGAGTGGCTCCAAGAGCTTTAGTGGTTCAATGGGCTTTAGTTAAAACTGCCCACTCACCCCCACACCCAGAGCATGTGTAAAGACATCCCCTTTGTGCCCAATAAAGATTATTCTGGTAGAATCCTTTATGCCACAGGTTGGCAACTTTCTGCCACTGCAGGCCACTGCTTGCTACCCAGCCCCTGCCATGGGTTGTACCCCTTGGCAATCAGCATACGCTGGGAAGGGAATGGATGCAAAAGGCAGAGGCTAGAATGCTGGGGATGCCATCCTAATGATGCAGCACAGAGAATAAACTGAAAGCACCAGGTAATAGGACTCTGGGGGTGCCACCTCTGCTGCCATGGCTGGAGGGTGCCGCTGATTCTCTATGCTGCCATGGGCCAAATGCAGCCCGCAATTGGTACGTTGCCAACCCCTGCTTTATGCTGCTAGCCAGGATGTTCTGAACTATTAATAAGCAAATGACACTGTCAGTCACTGTCAGCCATTTAGTACACAGAAATGAAATGGATAAATAAATAGCGGCTTAGGTATAAAATGTGTCCATCCACTTGCATGACTCTGACAGTTTGAAGGCAAACTTGTTTATAGGGCGTATGATTAGAGTCTGTGTTAACAAGTTCATGAGGGCAGAGTACCAGAATTGCCTGGGCCACGCTGTGACAGGGCTCAGCCCCTGCCATAAGGGTTGATGTGTATGAGTGGGGACCGTGGAATCGGAAAAAACAACTAGCAAAGAGCACGGACTGGCTATCCGTCTCCAACAGGATCTGTGACACTTCTTATTCTGCTCAGATATAGACACATCTACTTTGGAGATCCCGGGATGGATCTAATTAAGAGCTGGGCTAAAAGTGTGAAGGACTCAAGTGGGATTTTCTCAACCCCTATGTGCTCTAT